CTGCTATGTGCGCCCGGCCGATGCTGGCATTTGGTTTCAGGCGTCGCAGCGGGGGGCGGAGCCGGCGGGAAATTACAAAGTGCAAACATGACATTTACACAGAATACACACAATACAATGTAATCTGCTAGAATTACATGTATGTATCAAACTATTTCACTTCATTTTTGTCCAGTGCCCTGCCTGCACTTTTACTGTTCTTTCTGCCTGGAAACTTGTGAACGTCCATGGCATCCAAAAAGCGTCCCTTTAGGTCAAAAGCGGTTTTAAGAGCAGGTAGAAAAAAGCGATAGTAAATTAGAACTCATTTGCAGAATTGAGCGATAGCGATTCGTTGGGAAATTCGTCATCAGACACTGAACTAAAATCCTGACATAATCATACCGCCAGGGAGGTTAATACTTACCTGTCCGGTGAGTGGCAACTCCATTCTTTTCTGTCTTCAAATGCTTTGGTGGTTGAAGAATCCTATTTTTGGGTGTGTTGGATGCTTGGTACCCATTGTGCGTTATGGACCTTCCAGTCGGCCCCTACATCACTACTGTGTTATTACATAGGGGCCAACAGATGAAGCCACAGAATGGTGGAGGATGCTGGCACCTGACACACAAGTGTGTCACATGTGAAGATTCTGCAGGAGGTCAATGCTCGTTAAGCTAGCAAATTTCAGATTTTGCCGCCTGTCAAAGAGGTAATAAAGCAGAATTAAACCCACTGATATAATGGTTTTCCAAATAAAGCTCAAGTCAGAAATGCTCAATAAATGGTATTAAGCCCTTAACCAGTTGACATCCCTGGTTTATACCCTTTTTTGGGGACAGATAGAGCTTTATTTTGGTGGTATTTATTCACCACTGGGGTTTTTATTTTTGAATATATTAAGGAAAAATTACAGAAAAAAAAAACAGTTTCCCCTATAATAAATTATAAAACATTTTATTATTACCCAATTTTTTGGTAAAATATAAAAGACGGGGTCACGTCGGGTAAAGAGACACCAAACATGTCAAGCCTTAAAATTGCGCACGCGCGCAAAACCTCAAAAAACTACATTACCCAAAATTGTCCATAGGCGACGCATTAAAAGCTTTTACCGCTCATCAGTTTAGTGTTATCAGTGATTGATGGCCCTAAAATGATTGCTCTCACTGCGACGTTCGCTTCAATATGTAACATGATATATATATATATATATATATATAGATTTTTTTTTTACACTTATTGTTATTGCTATTACATAGGGGGTTACAATCCCCCTATATAATAGCACAGGTACACGAAATTCACGCCATACAACCGATCGGCGGCTATAGAGCCGCTGATCGGTTGTATGTGAAACAGCCGTTAACGGCTGTAGAAACGAGCGGGGCTTTTCTGCCCTTGCGCGCGCGAGCAGGAGAAAAATGCCGTCTGGAGACGGCAACCCGCTGATGCGAGTCTGCCGTCCGTCCGTTTTTTCTTAACGGGCAGACGGCAAGAGGTTAAACATACCTATGTTGTGTTCTATTTCCATGCGCAGTATATGCTACTTTCATGGTAACATAGTACCCTTTTAGATATGGAAACAACCATGAAGTTTGATGGCCTGCCCGACTGATTGTAAACTCAAGATTGTTTCAGAAGTATACCGTGTTTCCCCGAAAATAAGACAGTGTCTTATTTTTTTTTTTTCACGAAAAAAGACACTAGGTCTTATTTTCGGGGGATGTCTTACCTGGCTGCTGCTGTCCGCTCTGCCGTCCAGGGAGCCACAAACAGAAACACAGGTGGGTGTGCATGCGTGCGGGCGGG